CGGGAGGCAGCCTGCCCCCCTGACTGGGCCCTTTGGCTTCCAGAACTGAGCGCGGGGCTGGCTGCAGCTGAGCGTCCGCCTGCGATGACGGCCAACTCCAGTGCCGGCCCCAGCTCCGGGCTGGGCGACCTCTCCCTGCTCCAGTCCCGGCGGCTCTTCGCCTCCCTCTACTGTCTCATCTTCCTGCTGGGCATCCCTGGGACCCTCCTGCTGCTCCTGGTCCTGATCCCAGACCTCCTGAGACCTGGGGCCAGCCACGTCTCCCGCCTGACCGGGCCCCTGCTGGTCAACATTGCCCTCCTGGACCTGCTCCTCTTCCTCTACAACGTCCCGGTGACGTTGGGCAACGTGCTGTTCCAGGGCTGGCCCTGGGGCTACGTGGTGTGTGTCACCTACAACAGCCTGTCCCTCACCATCGTCTTTGCCGACTTCTACAGCCTGCTGGCGGTCTCCCTGCTGCGCTACGTGGCGGTGCTCCGCCCCACGTGCACCCTGGCTGCCTCCCCGCGGCACAGCGCCGGGGTCTGCGTGTCCACATGGGCGCTCGGCTCCCTCGTCTCTGTCCCCCTGTGGATTCACTACACAACGGTGCAGGTGGAGGGGGAGACGTACTGCGTGAACCAAATGCCCAGGCAGCAGCTGGCTCTGTACTTCCGGCTCCTGGGGGGAGCGGCGTTCCTCCCCCCCATGCTCCTCATGATCCTCTGCTACGCCAGGATTGTCTGCGCCCTGTGGGTCAGGAGGGCCCTGGCCAGCCACACGGCCTCCAGCCTCCAGAGCAACAGGCGCGCCACAGTCATGGCTCTGGTCACCATGGTGACCTTCGTGGCTATGTGGGTCCCCTACTGGCTGGTGGACTTCCTCACGAAGGACGATGAGTTGACCCGCACAGGCCCCATGTACCTGGCATCCAACCTGACCACCCTGCTGGCCTATGCCAACCGCTGCATCAACCCCCTCATCAGCTTCAGCTTCTCCAGCCACTGCCAGGCCGGGCTGAGGAAGCTGCTGAGCTGCCGGGCACACAGGTGCTCCATGGGCAGGCTCGGCTGGTGGACTTCCTCACGAAGGACGATGAGTTGACCCGCACAGGCCCCATGTACCTGGCATCCAACCTGACCACCCTGCTGGCCTATGCCAACCGCTGCATCAACCCCCTCATCAGCTTCAGCTTCTCCAGCCACTGCCAGGCCGGGCTGAGGAAGCTGCTGAGCTGCCGGGCACACAGGTGCTCCATGGGCAGGCTCGGGGAAGCTGCGGGCGGGAGGGGGGAGCACTGCAGGCGCTGAGGGGGGCGGGCAGGGCTGGGGCGAGGGGGCGTGAAGCAGGTCTGACGCTCCCCATCGCTGCGTGTGACCATGGGCCACACCTGTCTCCTCCTCGTGTGCCTGGGCTGCATGTTGAGGGGGGAGCTGGGCCTCTTCTGGGGCTGGTTTTGTTCAATATCTTTATCAATGACCTGCATGAGGGGATGGATTGCACCCTCAGCAAGTTTGCGGATGACACTAAGCTAGGGGGAGAGGTAGATACGCTGGAGGGCAGGGACAGGGTCCAGAGTGACCTAGACAAATTGGAGGATTGGGCCACAAGAAATCTGATGAGGTTCAACAAGGACAAGTGTAGAGTCCTGCCCTTGGGACGGAAGAATCCCAAGTATTGGTACAGGCTGGGGGGCGGCCGTCTGATGAGGTTCAACAAGGACAAGTGCAGAGTCCTGCACTTGAGACAGAAGAATCCCAAGCACTGTTACACGCTGGGGGCCGACTGGCTAAGTAGCAGTTTGGCAGAAAAAGACCTGGGGGTTACAGTGGATGAGAAGCTGGATACGAGTCAACAGTGTGCCCTTGTAGCCCAGAAGGCTAATGGCATATTAGGTTGCATTAAGAGGAGCATTGCCAGCAGATCCAGGGATGTGATTATTCCCCTTTATTCGGCTCTGGTGAGGCCACATCTGGAGTATTGTGTCCAGTTCTGGGGCCCCTTCTATAGAAAGGACGTGGACGCATTGGAGAGGGTCCAGCGGAGGGCGACCAAAATGATTAGGGGGTTGGATAATATACCCCTGCATGCTCCAGCAAGATATTTACACTCCTCCCTGTCTGAGCTTGCTTTTTAGTGTGTTAGCTCACCAATGGCTTATGGCCATTAGAACATAAGAACCACCATGCTAGGTCAGACCTAACTGGTCCATCTAGCCCAGTGTACTGTCTTCTGACAGTGCCCAATGCCAAGTGCCCCAGAAGGAATGAACAGGACGGGGAATCATAAAGCGATCCCTTCCCTGTGGCCCATTCCCAGCTTCTGGCTGGCTAATAGCTATTGATGGACCTATCCTCCTCTATGAATTTATCTAGCTCTTCTTTGAAGTCTTGGCTTTCCCAGCATCATCTGGCAAGGAGTTCCATGGGTTATCTGTGCACTGCATGAAGAAGTACTTCCTTTTGTTTATTTTAAACCTGCTACCTATTCATTTCACTCAGTGACCCATAGTGAACAACTTTTCCTTATTCACTTTTTCAAAACCAGTCATGATTTTATTGACCTCTATCCTATCCCCTCCCTACTCATCTCTTTTTTAAGCTGAAAACTCCCAGTCTTACTGAACTTTCCTCATATGGGACCCGTTCCAAACTCCTAATAATTTTTGTTGCCCTTTTCTGAAACTTTTCCAATGCCAAGAGATCTTTGTTGAAATGGGATGATCACATCTGTACACAGTATCCAAGAGGTGGGCATCCCAAGGTTTCATACAGAGGCAATAAGATATTTTCTCTCTTATTCTCTATCCCTTTTCTTAATGATTCCTAACGTTCTGTTTGCTTTTTTCACTGCCGCGGCACATTGAGTGGCTGTTTTCAGAGAACTGGTGACTCCATGATCTCTCCCTTGAATGGAAACAGCTAATTTAGTCCCCATCATATTATACATACAGGTGGGATTATGTTTTCCGATGTGCGTTACTTTGCATTTATTAACACACCGACGAAAGAGCCCCTTTGCTGACATACATTGCATCTCTGCGAAGGTGCTTTGGAGGGTAGAGTTGTACTATAACAGGGCTCTGGGAAGAGGGTCAAATCAAGGCGAATTACTTAGAATCAGAGTTACTCTCAGCCCAAGACTGGGGCTCCTCCGCTATAAGGCACCAAACCAGTCACGGAGAACACTTCAGCTGCCACCCTGGCAATTCCCAGACACCCCAGTGTTCCCTGTGCCACCACCAGCACCGCTCCTTACGCAGGGGAGAGGCTATAAACCAACCTCCCCCCTCCGAACAGGTTCCATCGCTCCCAAAGGACTGGCCACAGTCCCAGCTCAATTTATACTCAGCTCTTACTCTAAAGAGCAGCTGTGCCCGTAAAGGTTTATTACTAAAAAGAAGGAAAAGGTTGCGAGTAGAACGGTTGACGAAATACGTTGCGCGTAACTTCCTGGTGCAGGATGGAAAGATCATAACTGTCTCCGGAATACGCCCGGTGTTAGGACGGGTCAACAGCCCTTCCGGGCCCTTTGTTCACAGCCAAGCTGCTTCTGAAGTGATGAGCAGAGTGAAGATAAAGGCCCATGGACCCTTTTATACTCTTGCCCACGCAGAGGGAATCCCATTCTCGCTGCCCCCCGAACAGAGCCAAGCACGAGCAAGTCGCTCTCCACGTCCCTTTCAGGCAAGGCCGGGGGTACTTGCCTGACTGCAGGTTCGCAGCAGGGTTCCTCAGCTGTGTATTGGCGACACGTAAGGCCCAGCGTCCACGCAGCGTCACTATTCAGTGAGTAGCCGCCCCTCACGAGAGCGTCACACGGGCACGTGCGACAGACACAGACTCCACAGAGCACCAGCTTTCAGCAGACACACGTGGCCCAGGCTTGGGTGCAGGGATGCTCCACGTGTGCATGCAGCAATGTGGCGAGTAGCTGACAGCCTGAGAGGGGACGTGAGTGACACCCCCAGGCCTGCGGCAGAGCCAGGGAGAGAAGCCAGGTTTCCATGCTCCACCCACTGAGCCACGCTGCCCCACCCACTGAGCCCGACTAGTGCTGCCTTTGCTGGGGTGCAGGCGGCTATTAGTCTGTTTCTAGATGAATCCCGTCTTACCCTGGGACTATCCCTTGGCTCAGGGGTGTCCCCAGGGATGTTGATTCACCTCCATGCTGAATCAGACACTTGTTCTCCTGGCAGGATTTCAGCAGCGCCGGCCTCTGGAGGGACCCGGGTGGTGCTGCTGGCCCCGGGTGGCTGCGCGCTGGGATAATGAGCCCACACAGGTGTTAATGAGCTCAGCTCCCGTGCTCTGTGGTAACGAGGCCCCAGTGGGAGCAGAGGGCGACTCTCTGCCCCACAGAACTCTCCGTTCCTGTCGGCGCGGCATGCTGGCCAGAGGCCGCTCGCCTCCATCGGCAGCAAAATGGCTTCCCAGCCAGGCCCAGGCACAGGACGGGACTAACCGGCTCTGCAGCGGGGGCCTGCGCCTGCCAGGGGCGCTAGTGCTGAGCTGCAGGCAGGGAGCTGAGCTCACTGCAACTCGGTCTCTGCTAGCCAGGCGACCCCGCTCCCCTCTGCTCGTCCCACACGTCTCAGAGCAAGGCCACTGAGTGCTGCAGCCTGGCGCTCCTCGGGCTTGGTCCTGCTGGGTGCGTGCTCCAATGTGTCCCTTGCCCCGCAGTGCTGAGCATGGCGGTGCCCCAGCTGGCCGCAGGGCCTCGGGCTGCAAGCTGCCCTTTATGCTGCCCTGCCCGTGTCTATCCCCAATTCAATCTCCCCCCGGCACTCCAGCCCCCAGTCGTTTTGGTCGCCCTCCACTGGACCCTCTCCAATGCGTCCACATCCTTTCTGTAGTGGGGGCCCAGAACTGGACGCAATACTCCAGATGTGGCCTCACCAGAGCCGAATAAAGGGGAATAATCACTGCTCTGGATCTGCTGGCAATGCTCCTCCTAATGCACCCCAATCTGGCGCGATGGGTCCCTCTGCTCTCTTCATTCCCTCTGAAGCACCTAGCATTGGCCACTGTCGCAAGACAAGCTACTAGGCTAGATGGGCTGGCCCCATCGATGTTCCTACTGCTGGAGCTGGAGCAGCACAACAGCCTTTGCACTTGGTTGGGTTTCTTTAGTGTTTAATGGTGACTCAGGACCCCTGGCTCTGCTCCAGCTTTCCGGTGTCCTTGGGTAGGTCGTCTCCTCTCTAGGCCTCAGTTCCCATCTGCAAAACCGGGCTTTGAACTCCTGGGCACCCAAGTGTTTCTGGCGTGGCGGGTTGGCTGGCGCGGGTCTCAGGGCAGAGCGCCTAGCACAGTGCACATCTGGGCTGAGGCTCTTAGTGATGCTGAGCCCCCAGGCGCCTGTCGGGCGAGGTCCACTTGAAAGGCTGGTATGTTGTTAACATGCTCCCCCTCCTGTTCTCAGCCACAGTGCACGCTGGAACCTCGGCGCATGCTCCTGGGCTGGGGATCTGTTCTTCCCCTTTGCAGGACTAGTGTGATGAGAGATCGGGTTTGCCTCTGGGACCTTTGAGAGTGATGGAACCTGTTCCTGGCCAGTAAGGAAAAGTGCCAAGGAATGTGAAAGTGGAACCCACACACCTAGCACGGGCAGCCGTCCCACGGAGCGGCACGCGGACCTCGCACAGCGCGAGATAAGAGCAAGGGAGCGGTATCGCCCGAGCTGTGAGCCATCTGGCTCTATAGCTCACGCTGTCACGGCTCCTGCACTACCCCAGAGATCCCAGGTTCAACTCCGCCCGGTGGCTTACAAAAGCAGGCCCCTATCTCCTCCTGTCTGTCCGTTTCTGCTGGTCCATGCAGGAAGAATAAAGCAGGTTACTTCCGAACGCCTCCTCACGGCTGTTCTGAGCAGCGCTAGCTGGAATACAGCGGTTGTCTGCGTGACGCCTGTGCAGCCGCAGACGGCGGCGGAGTTTTATGTGACATCTGTAATGGGATTTGCTGACTGAGGATTGGCTCAGGTGCTCACCAATGGTGTCCCAGAAGCGGAGATCCTCGATCGAGGGCTCAGGCGGCGGGCGCGCGCACACATTCTACCTTGCAATTGGAGGTGTGATTGCAGCTGGACATCCTGGTGCCTCC